GAACACCTCAAAATTTTCCAGAGAATTTTAAACTGGGGCACAGAGAGAAGCTCATGCAATTCTAATCTGTAGAAGCAAAACTGCATATATTAAGGCTCCACGACTAGAGAAAATACTTTCATGTAAAACTGAGCGTGGAAGTAATACTGGATTTGAAGTGTTAGTTTGTGATTAGTTTTTTTCATGTGAGCAAATCTACCTAATACATTTTTTTTCTTTTTTTTTCCTAATACATTTTTATTTGTTGTTGTTTAGTCGCTAAGTTGTGTCCGTCTCTTTTGTGACCCCATGAACTATAGCCCACCAGGCTCCTCTGTCCATGGAATTTCCCAGGCAAGAAGACTGGAGTGGATTGCCATTTTCTTCTCCAGGGAATCTTCCTGACCCAGGATCAGACCTGTCTTCTGCATTGGCAGGTGGATTCTTTATCACTGAGCCACTAGGGAAACCTTCATGCTTCCATTTAAGGGATTTACTAATTTAAATGTGGTTAATGCTTTTCTGGATTACTATGATGGTATGGTCAGTCACCCAGAGCCAGACATTCTGGAGAACTAAGTCAAGTGGGCATTAAGCACTGCTGTTAATAAAGCTAGTGGATGTGACAGAATTCCAGTAGAACCCTAAAGGATGATGCCATCAAGGTGTTGCCTTCATTATGTCAACAAATCTGGAAGACCCAGCAGTGGCCGCAGGACCAGAAAAGGTCAATCCTCATCCCAATTCCAAAGAAGAGTAGTACTAAAGAATGTGCTAGCCATCAGACAATTACACTCATCTCCCATGCTAGTAAGGTCATGCTTAAAATCTTGCATACTAGGCTCAGCATTTTGCCATCCAGGAACTTCCAGATGTCCAAGCTCTGTTTAGAAAAGGAAGACGAACCAGAGATCCAGTTGCCAACTTTCACTGGATCATAGAGAAAACAAAAGGGAATGTCAGAAAAACATTTACCTCTTCCAGAAAAATATTGACTACACTAAAACCTTTGCCTGTGTTGATCATAATAAACTGTGAAAAGCTCTTAAAGAGATGGGGATACCAGACCATTTAACTTGTCTCCTGAGAAACCTTTATGTGGGTCAAGAAGCAATGGTTAGAACCCTGTATGGAACAACTGACTGGTTCAGGACTGAGAAAGGAGTATGACAGGGCTGTCTGCTGTCACGCTGTTTGTTTAATGTATACGCTGAGCACATCATGAGAAATGTCGGGCTGGGTGAGTTACAAGCTGGAATCAAGACAGGCAGGAGAAACATCAACAATCTGAGATATGCAGATGATACCACTCTAATGGCAGAAAGCAAAGAGGAACTAAAGGGCCTCTTGATGAGTTTGAATGAGGAGAGTGAAAGAGCCGGTTTAAAACTAATTATTAAAAAAAACTAAGAGCATGGCATCTGACCCCATTACTTCGTGGCAGATAGAAGGGAAAAGGTAGAAGTAGTGACAGAGTTCCTCTTCTTGGGCTCTAAAATCACTGTGGATGGTGACTGCGGCCATGAAATCAGAAGATGATTGCCTCTTGGCAGTAAAGCTATGGCAAACCTAGACAGTGTGTTGAAAAGCAGAGACATTACTCTGCTGACAAAGGTCAATCTAGTCAAGGCTGTAGTCTTCCCAGTGGTCACGTACAGTTGTGATAGCTGGACCATAAAGAAAGCAGAGCACCAAAGAATTGATGTCCTGTGGTGCTGGCAGAGACTCCTGAGAGTCCCTTGGACAGCAGGAAGATCAAACCAGTCAATCTTATGGGAAATCAACCCTGAATACTCATTGGAAGGACTGATGCTGAATTTGAAATTCCAGTATTTTGGTTATCTGATGTGAATAGCTAATTCATTGCAAAAGTCCCTGATGCTAGCAAAGATTGAGGGCAGAAGGAGAACAGGGTGTCACAGAGTGAGATGGCTGGATGGCATCATTGATACATTGGACATAAACTTGGGCAAACTTTTGGGAGATGGTGATGGACAGAGAGGCCTGGCATGCTGCAGTCCGTGGGGTCGCAGAGTCAAACACGACTGGGCAGCTAAACAACAACGCTTCTCCAGGACAAGGCCTTCTTGACCAGTGGTAGCAGAGTAGGAGACCAGATTAGTGCTATTGTTGGTGGGTAGGAGAGGCCCAACTATGATGTGTATCCTTTCTTCCTGCTGTTGACTTTTTCTTTAGGATAGGAGGCTTTTATCAATATTACATGATACCTGGCATTTGCAGGAAGTGGTTGATGACTTATGGAGTCCCAATAATTATGAGACCCATATAAAGCCCAAGAGATAGTGAGAAATTGGGAAATCTGCATAGACCAGAGGGAACAGCTGCAGTTCTAGCCACTACACAAGTCGATGTTACAGAGAAGTATGGAAAATCAGCAGGGGTTGGAGCGTGGGACCACCTTTGGCTCGCTGATCATTGAAAGCATATGAAATGGAAACTGAGTGTTCCTGGTCACTGATTGAGGACTTCTGACTATTCAAAAGGAAAGATGGTTTCATCTTTGATTTGGGAGGCTCTGTCAACATGTTCGCAGTTATCTCAAAGGAATTTCTTTCAACTTTTCGGTGGTTTGTTTTCTTTTCTTTTAGGTTTTCACGCATTTATTGGGGCCATTGGGGTGGGGGCCGCTCCCTGTCAACGGAGGCGCTCACAGTCTCTTCAGCCACTCCAGGCTCGGGCCCTGGGGGTCCTGAGGGTGGCTGGGCACATCGGGCATGTCCCTGTCGTCTTGGAGGGGCGCTGGGTAGTTGTACAGTGTGGCCCGGTTGATCGTGAGCGAGTACTTGGTGTAGGGGCTGAGTGTGGGTGGGATCACAGCGAGGCCCGCAATGGCGAAGGATGCCACCAGCACAGCTTCCTTGGCCAGACATTCTCGAGGAAGGCTGTGACTCTCTCAGCCATCTTGGTCGCGGCGGCTTGGTGGTTTTTTGTCACAGTTTTTAACCGCTTAATTTCACCTTTTTACAGTTAGTATATAAATTGTTGTTATTGCTTAGTCCCTAAGTCATGTCCAGCACTTCTTGCAACCCCATGGACTTGTAGCCTGCCAGGCTCCTCTGTCCATGGGATTTCTCCCAGGCAAGAATAGTGGAGTGGGTTGCTATTTCCTTCTTCAGGGGATCTTCCCAACCCAGGGATTGGACCTGTCTCCTGCATTGGCAGGTGGGTTCTTTACCACTGAGTCACCAAGAAGGCCCAGTATATAAAATGACTCAATTTAGTCATTTACATGAGTAAAATGGAAGTATTTATAAGTGACTATGATAGTTTCCTGAAAGGATTAGTTAAATGAAGCTTCATGGATATGAGGCTTGTGAGCTGCCAAGTAAAGAGATGGGGAACTCTGTGGACTGGAAGCTGTGAGACTGTTCAGATGGAGTAAAGCTTACATAGAAAGGTGTGGATGACCCCAGAAGACCTGAAAAAGTAAGTTTGGCTAGAGAGAGGATGGTCTGAAATAAATGACATGTGAGAATTGACAGGTAAGGTGGTGATACTGGAAAGTATTGATAGAATTAAATAAGTTTTGTATTCTTGATATGGATATGGCTATAAGACTAAATGCCTTTCTAGGGTTTCTGATCATTCTCTGTGCACTGTCTCCTCCACCCCACCTCATCCCTGCCCCCCAATATACATAAACAGAAATGAGAAGGGATAGCATTAAAGGAGCAGAACAGCACAGCAGAAAGAAAACCAAACCAAGGGTGAGGACACCTGGTTTCAGCATTAGCCGTCTGACTTTAACAAGTTGCTCAAAACTCAGCAGATTAAATTTGGATTAACTAGGAATTTAATCAAGTAAAAGACAGCTTTTGTTTTGATTTTTCTGCTATAAATCTTGTCTCTTTTTCCAACTGCATATCCCTGATAATTTAGCACAAATGTAGGTAGTGTCACATTAGAAAAATTTTGCCTGTTCATATTGTTTTCTTGACTATAGCTCTGCTATAAGTAATTCATGGAAGTTTGTTCTGCAAGAACTGGGAATAAAGCAATTGAAACTAGTATATTGATTACTAACTTATTGTGTTGAATATGAGAAGAATGGGCAAGTGAAAAGACGTAATAAGATCCAGAAGGAAGAGATTAGAATACAGATTCCTGGTGCTTTTCTTCAGGGTCCTGAATCTAAGTACATTTCTGGCGATGGGGCTCAGAAATGCTTAATTAAAAAAAAAAAAACCACTAGTGATTCTGATTAAAAGCTAGAATTGGCGTTCACAGACTTCATTCTACTCATGAAAATCTCTGAGTGCTATCATTTTGTTTTAGAGATGTTGGGAAAGCTGAGATAGCCTTTTTAAACTGTGGCATTGGGTTAGTAAAGCTTCTAAATCCTAGAATAGTACAGCCATTAGATTGTAAGATTACAGGGACATTAGAGATTATCTAATACAAAGAACAATGAACTATGGTCCATAGACCAAATATGGCCCTCCGCCTATGTTTGTAAAATTCTTCAGAACACAGGCACACTCATTCATTTATGTATCATCTCTGGCTGTTTTTGTGCTAACAGAGTTTTGTGTTGTAACAGAGACTACATGGCTCATAAAGCCTAAAACATTTTCTGTTTGGCCGTTTACCAAAAACATTCATGGTCTTTTGAATAGATCAGACCTATCATTTTTACAGATGTAGAAATAATACTCAAAGATAATGAAATACTCCGAGTACACAGCCAGTTGGTGGTCAGAGTGCAAGTACAATTTAGTTCTTGTTTCCGTTCCATTGTTTTTTTGTTGGAGGTACTGATGCCTAGGTGAAATCAGAATATAAGTTTGTGGTACAAATTTTGCATGTAACTTCATTCTTTTTTACAGTGCAAATTCCTAGAAATGGTAGTCTGACAAGTCTTAGATGACACAGCTGTACAAAAGTCTTTTTAATTTGGGTTAGGGGCTGGAATTTGATCATTGATTCTATTCCTGAGTATAGATCTTCGGTTTGATCTGCCAGGCAGTTTGATAACAGAATCCATTTTTGTTGCTATGTAGCCAAATGGACGGACCATTGACGTGGCTGAGGAAGAAGTTGTCCGAACTCCTCGAGGTGTGACAGCAAAGCAGCCAATAGAGACGGACAAGAAAAATGAAAAGGTAAGTTTGGGAGCCTGTGAAATTATATGCAAGACTCTTAGTAAAAACAGCGACATACAAAGTGTTACATACACCCCCACCCCCCACCCCCCATTTAAGGAAAACGAAAAATGTGAGTTTATTGTAGTGGATGGATAGATAGTGAAGGTTTAAGTAAGTTGTGTGTTTTTCAAGGAAGGAAGTATCACTTTGTGTTTCTAAACATTGCTGTGGCATTATTAAGTATTCATTCTGCCAAAGACAATTTATTCATGACTTGAACATCTTTTATATGAATAAGGTTCCAGATATGTTACATATTTCTTATGGGAAGACAAGATTGTGTTACCTTTGCTAACAGTAGACATCTGACATAAAAAGCTTGACAAAATTGTCCTGTTGTAATGTTAAAGTAGATTTCTTTTGTGATAGCAGCATAATCATTTGTTTACTAGATACAATTTGACTTTGTTTAACAAAGGAAAATGTTCTATACTCAGGTCGTTATTAAAAGGTTTGGGTGTTCACTGTTAAATTTTCAAATAAGACAGTGTACCATACCCCATAAATGGTACATTCCTGGGATTTTATTCATTTTCTAGTTGCCAGTGTTAGAACTGACCCATTTTTATTTAACTTAATTTAGCTTATAAGTAGGCAAAATGTACAAGAAAGTTAACAGTGGTACCTCCTGCTGTGGGCAAGAGACTTCTTATTTAATTCCTTTTGGTATATTAAAAACTGCGTACATGACCAGTGGCACAACAACAACAGAGATAAACTTGTGTGCCAGCTTTTGCAAATTTCTTAAAATATGAGGGCTACCATATTAGAAGCTGCTCTCTCCTCTAGGCACTCCCTTATTATTACCAAACTTCTTGAAAATTAAAAAAAAAGAAAGAAACTGCACACCCTTTTTTTTTTTTTTCCCTGTGCATACATAACTCCTTTTCAGGGGAAGCAAACAAAAAAACAGCCACAGGTAGATAAGTAGTTTCTAGAAACCAAGGTACTACAGCTCCTGTCCCATAGAATTGTGGTATGAAGTGGTTGATAAAGTTTCTTAAGGCTTGTAATTTCTTTTTTTTTTTTTGTTTTGTTTTGTTTATCTAAGTTTTATTAAAGTATAAGGGAGATAGAGAAAGCTTCTGACATAGGCATCAGAAGGGGGCAAAAGAGTACCCCCAAGGCTTGTAATTTCAAAGTAACACTGAAGAACTGGTGAGACCAATTCTGCCCCTGTAATCTGGTGAAATTAGTCTAGAGCCAAGATAACTGAAGGTAGGATAGCTTAAAATGAAGGATGGTTGTGGGAAAGAATTAAATATATGCCTGACTTGTCCTTTGGCAGTAAAATAAATAGAAAATTACTTGTATTAACAAATAAGCATACAGTTTAGGAATTGTGAATTTACACTGTGAATAGTTTATATGTTTAATATAGGTATATAGGTTTATACTTCTTGCATCTAATGTTTCTTTATTCCTGGGCTTTCTCTCTACTAGTGAGCATTTCATATTTAACTCCAGCTTCTACTCCCTGAATTACCCTGAAAAATCTGTAGTTGGAATAATTTATCAGCTACCATTTGTCTCTGATTAATCATATATAGATTGTATGTATCAGGATGTAAAACCACAGGATGATTTAAATCATTCTGAAATCTCTCATGTTAGAAAGTAATTGTAATAGTTGACATTTGTTAAGTATCTTAATGTGGCAGGCATTGTGCAAGATGAGGTAAATGTATTTCCTCATATAATAGGAACAATTTATTGAGCACTCACTGAGTGTACTTTTAAGACTTCCTAGAATATTTATACATGTTACTTTAATTATCCTTATAAGAACACTGAGGGAGGTGGTATTATACTTATCTTAAAAATAAGAAACCTGAGGCTTAAGTTACCTAAGCTATTACAAGTATAGTCACTTCTAACCCAGACCCATCTGACTCCAAAGTCTGCTTTTTACTGCTTTGTATTATTTCTAATCCTTTCAAAAACTTCCAGGCAAATAGTATTAGCCCCATTTACAGATAAGGGCTCTGAAGTATAGAGGAGGTTTGTGACTTCTCTTAATTTCATGCATATTAATAGTTTCTAAACTAGGAATTGAACCCAGCTCATTCTGATGCAAAAGCCCATGCACTTTGTGATCACTTGACAGAACCACCTCATTTTAGTTGCTGTTGCCTTTTCAGTACAAGGCTTCTACCTTTGGTTAGTTGCCTATTTGATTTGACTTTTGCTTAGTAATAAATGCTACAACCCATGGCTGGTTCTTTTTTCCATCTCGCATCTTAAATTTATCCTTTTTAACTTGGTTCAGTCCAGCTCTCTTTTCAGTTAATTTTTTGTGCTGTGTGCTTTTATGTGTTTTAAATATGAGGTGTTTTTTTCATACTTCTTATTGTCTTTTTTTATAAATAAACATTTTAGATCTATTATATACCTTAATATATTTGTTTTTGTCTCAGACCCACATCTTAGGCAATTTGAGAAATACAATTTGCCCATTTGCCCATAAAGCAATTGGACTCTATGCAGTGATATCGAATACCTTGTCTTGTCACTTGTTTGTTGTTGTTGCTTAGTCACTGAGTCATGTCCAACTCTTTTGTAAACCCATGGACTGTAGCCTGCCAGGCGCCTCTGTCCATGGGACTTCCCAGCCAAGAATACTGGAGTGGGTTGACATTTTCTTCTCCAGGGGATCTTTCTGACTCAGGGTTCAAAGCTGCATCTTCTGCATTGGCAGGTGTATTCTTTACCACTGAACCACCAGGGAAGTCCATCACTTGAGTAAGCCTTATAGATAAAACTTTGTCTAAAAAGCAGATAAGACGAGCTATAGATCTTGAGTGTATAAAGCAAGTTAAGCCACCGGGTTTTCATTTAGGTCGGTGCTTCATTGATGCTGGTCTCTAGTAGAATATACATTGGACCATTAGCCAGGCTGAATGTATTGTGTTACTAGATGCTGAAAGGGAATAAAGAAAAATGGAAGATGTACTTACTCTCAGAGAGATTACAGCCTTGTTAAGGAAAGGCAAACATAAGACAAGGTATCAGGTAAGGCCTTGAATGCAAGGTATTCAGAGAAGAAAGATTATCCTATTTGGGTAGCCAGAAAAGATGGACTTAATTGGACGGTTGAGGATGGGGATGGTATTTCAGTAAGTAGAAGTGGGGGGCCAGTTTTTGCAGAGGAGAGAAACAAGTGAACACAGTCATTGTTCATTTGGAACAAAAGAATATATTTAGACATACTCAAGGGAAAGGCCAATCAAGTTTGACGGGTCAGGGTGGGGTGTGGTGTGATAAAATCTTAGATATGTTCAGCAATATTTATAATGAACGAATCAGCATTGTATTCATGATTTTAAAGGTCAGAATTAAGATAGAAGTGTAAAGATGGTTAGTAAGAAAAACAACAAACGCAAAAATGTATATAACATTTGGTCACCATCAGGTTGTTGAGGACGAAGTCAGTGATTGTCCCACTGAAATATTCATTATAAGTATTAACAGCTTCTTACATTTTGTGATTTACACAATGTACAAAGTATTTCCACATCTCTTAATCCTAATGTACAACTCTGGGGAGGAGGATATTATCTTTTTTTTTTTAATACAGCTTATTGAAAAGAGTTTAATGAATTTCCCAGGATCACATAGTAGTAAGGAATTGTCTCTCAGTTTCTCTGAGATATCAGTTCTCAAAGTATGGTCCCTGGACCCCTGGGCAGAGGTTCCAAGGACCTTTTTTGGGTCCTAGAAGACAAAACTGTTTTCCTAATAATTGAGCCATTGTCTTTTTTACTCTAATACTTGCATTAATGGTCCGAAAGCAACAGTGAGGAAAACTATTGACTCTGTAGTACAAAAAAAGGCAATGACACCAAACTAATAGTAGTTGAATTCTTTACTGTAGTCTACTTACAGTTTAAAAAAAAAAACCTGTTCCACCTAAAAAGTATCCTTGATGAATCTATAAAAATGATAATTTTATTAAATCTTGACCTCTGAATACATGCCTTTTAATTATTCTGTATGATGAAATGGAAAGTATGCATAAAGTATGCTGTGTACTGAAAAACAGTGGTTGTCTTGAGGAAAAACACCAGTGCAACTGAGTTGCAGGCTGGACTAGCCACTTAGTTCTTGATACTCCATTTTTACCTGAGAGAACAAGTAGTAGACAGGCCATGGTTATTTATTTATTTATTGTTTTAGGCTATGGTTATTTAGACTTGGGTATTTGTAGACTTTTCTCAAAAATAGTCAGGATAATTCAAGGAAAATAACTGACAGTATTGTTGAAAAGTGCTTTGTTTCCAAGTGAAAATTAGAAATAATGGAAAATGTCTACCACCATGAGCTTGACAACATCCTAGTACTTAATGAATTTATGATGAGATCACTGGTGACATTAACAATTTTTCTTTTTAAAATATTGTGTATAGTGCAATGCTTTTTAACCTTTTGAGAGATGTATGTGCTCTGCTTAGTATAACTCAGCAAATCAGTATTTTCCAAATGCTCAAGGATTGCATGTTCTAAAATTAGGCAAGTATAAAAGATTAATTTAAGGTGCAAGATCAGTGGATTTAAGTGTAGTATAGAAAGCTCATTGACGAAGTTTCAAATTCAGCGTTGCGACAGTTTTTGAGAAACTACATTTGACAAGTTTTGGTCAAGTTTAATATTTTTTCCTTCTATCTGAACTCCTTTATGACTTCTCATTGTTCTTGTTCTACAGTGTTGAACGTCATCAAAGGCACTGTGGCCCAAGTCTTTTCCTACTTCTTATCTTCTCTAAGCTCCAGACACATTGGTTTTCATTCTTTTTTGTTAAACAGCTTTATTTTAAGATATAACTTACCTCTTTCATGTGTACAATTTTAGTGTATTTACAGAGTTGTACAGCTGTGACCACAATCTAATCTTTAAACATTTTCCTTTTCCCAAGAAGAAAACGTGTGCCTGTTCAACAGTTGCTTCCTGTTTTCCCTGTC